TTCACTTTTTCCAAAATTATACAAAGCTAAAATCTGATATTACATTGGAATTCTTGTAAGTGTAATATTTTGATTTCTGTATAATTTATTTTCATAGTTGTCTCGTCCCAACAAGCATTTTTCAAATTCAGTTGCCCTTTGACAAAAGTGGTTGTCGGTAACTACTGGACAACTGCCATTTTTGACTTCTGGTGTTATAAACATACCTATTTTATCAGGAGCAATGTAACCCTGACACACCACAAATATCTCAGCCGACTCTGACCTAGATGCTGGTGGTTTGGTGGCGTGAACCTTCTTGAACAACTGTTTGAAGACCCACATCAATGGTTGGTAGTCCTTAGAACGAAATACTTTGGTGACAAACCATCCTCCCTGGGTTAGAAAATCACTCGCTAGCTTTAAAGCTTTCAGGGTAAGTGAAGCTGAAATAAAAAGAAAAATATGGAACACTGAACTAAAATTTGTAATTAATTGGCATGCAAACCACTGCAAGAACTATGCTTTGTACAGTTCATACTGCCCTCTAGTGTTCAATTTTTTTTTTTTATGTCAGATATATGCAAGTTACTAGTAATTCACGAATTACTGAAAATTACTGTTTCTCATTTGCATGCAACTTCCACAGTGACATCACCAAGCTGCACAGTAAAAATTCATCATTACACTCAACGTCATACATCAAACAAAATTAATATTGTCAGTAAACACTGTAACACTGTCAGTAAAATATTATTTATTCCTAGATAATTTGCTGAAATGGAAATTAATTTCAGACAAATAAATGAGGTCATGGATTATGCAAATTTGAATTAGTCAGGTGACTTGAATTCAAGAGATAGTTTGAAAGCTGATACACCGCTGGCAATGTAAAGCTACAAATTGATTTGATAGCCTTCATTTTCACTATATTGTCTGATATACAATTGGAGAAAACAGAATTTCATTTACAAACTTTTATTGCAATAAGGCATGTGAGGACCATAGTAAGGTGACAAACCTTGTGTGAATGCGTCGTGCAACCAGTTTTTACCCACATTTGGTGCGCCATCATTCAAGACAATATCAGCTTTCCAATCTTTCAGCTCATTGCGCAAAAGCTATAGAGGAAGACAAAATGATAAATGTGAAATTAGAACAACAATTTGCAGACAAAGTGAATCAAAGAAAGCTTAGAAAGAACTCCCATGCCCAAAACACATCTGAAGACAATGCTTTTACAGAGATTTAATTGTCACAGTTGTCAATTTAATAGACTGACTTGATTTACCATATTAGAAGTGCATCTCTGATCATGGAGATGTTTTAGCTTTACCCCAAGATCGTTTGATAATGTTTGTTCACAAACACTGTTACTTGTTAACTATTAGCACCTTCGTACAATAGGTTACACTAATCGCGAGTATTCGGTAATATTCGGAGCATGTTCGGAAGCGATAGACGAACCTCGCATGTACAATACTGAAAATGGCGTCTAGTTTGAATGCTGTTGACCGAGTGCGCATGTGTGATGACCGTAGTTTCACAATGCACATATATTTTATGGTCACGTTAAAAATCTGTGGGGTTGTATGATATTCCACTAACTTGTTACTTGTGTCAACAATCGCAAACTAACATCAACATCAAAGATGAGCTAGACAATGGACTAACTTGGGTTG